ATAAATCGATTCCGGATGTGACTCCAAGCTCGTCAGAAACTTTGTTGTCAGTTTCAGCACCCGTTTTTCGTCCTTTGAATTATATATTCTCCTCATCGATTGGAGGCCAAAATCGAAAATAGTATTTTATTTCTTCAAAATCGTTGCACAAAATGTCAAAGACGAATTTGATCAACAGTATTCATACTAATTTATTGGAAAATGATGTTGTTAAATGACTTTCGAAAAAATCGATCGCGCGACATCTGTCTTATTGTCTTCCCAGATTGTAGGTTCATTTGCGGCTTCTTACTTCTGTGTCATACATTTGAACTAACTTGATTGATGTCCGAATCTTTTACTGCAGATTCATCTGCGGCTTCTTATTAGATATTATCATTGTAGCGGAGTTGGATCCTGAATCTGTTTCTGCGGGTTCATCAGCGTTTCCGCTTCCAACATTTTGTTCGAATTATAATCTCTCACTGTACCATACACCTATCGTACATATTACATGATATAATTTATTTGTATAATTTGGTCCTTAATTATTCGTTAAAATGTATGCGATACGGTTTATTGCAACTTTGGTTTAGCGTCTTTGACAATATGGCGAATAATCATTGTCACTTTTTTTGTATACTTATACTCACTCAGCTGATTTGATTGTATCGTAATACTCATGTCATGTTCGATATGATATTTTTGATTTATGTACAACGATCCAACGGGAAAATTTTGTACACTTTATATTTGAAATAAAAAATACGATAACACAATTTGATTTTTGTAATATAGGGAACATGAAAAAATACAACATAATTACAAAACAAAATTAAATTTATTTATATTTCATTTGTTTTGTTTACATTTTTCGACATATCAAACTGACACTAGTGTTACATACATGGTTGTTGTTGAATTGTATTTGTTGTAGTTTTGCAGTTACTTTGCGCACAGGCTTATCATTGCCAAAAGGTAATGTCTAGTAGACATCTGCATGAATGCACAAAAACACCACCCATGAGTCACTCACACAAAGTAATGGCTTCTATACTATAAATTTGTTTGAAATGAAGTGCAATGAGTGAGGGTACAACAAACATGAATTGCTTCAGGTATGAGAGTTTCGAATTTGTTGTATATTCGTTTGATTCATACAATCCACGTTTCAGACTCGACGAACTGGTATTCATTGTGTATGTTTACTTCGGTATGAATGTATGTTGTAACACACAAAGTTTGAACAAATGCGACAAGTTCGTACACGAACATGTTTTACACAATGTGTGTGTCGAATTATACAGTAGTATTCGAATTACCCGAATTAAATGAAGATATATTATGGTTTTTATACAATCCACAAAATTATGAAGGGTATGTTATGTTTTTTTTTTCGTTTGTAACTCATCGAAATATTAATTTCCGCCCATATAAAGTATATATATTCTTAATAAGGGCAACATTTATGAATATCTAGTAATGTATCCACTATATAGCGCTACTTCTCTTTTTTCAATATTTAGATGTTTTTAAACGCACTTTTAAACATATAAAATTCGTTTTAATTTGGGTTCGAATTGGATAACCCATAGTGTGGGGGATATTCAGTACTACAAATTGTCAGTTTATAACCTATAGTATGTTAAGACTCATTATTAGTTAGTCCGTATGTACTTCTGTTGTAATATTACTACCTTCGGGGGTGTCGAGATACAAAACTAAACCGTTACGATCCAAAATGGCCTTTTTCAGTCCACATTTAAGTATATCCTCCCGAGAAGTAATCAATATTGGCCCCCTTATATGTAAAGCCAATTTTTTAAAACAGGCAAAAGGAAACTAGATAGACACATGGTTCCTTTTTAGTATTTATTCAAATTGGGAAAAATCGGTCTAGAATGATGTGTATTAAGTTTCGTGAAAATCGGTTCAGATTCAGATATAGCTCCCATATATCTTTTCGTCCGATTTTATGTAAATGGTGTGCCAAACTCCCTATATATCTTTCGATTTGCACGAAATTTGGCATAGCGTACTGAATTAGGTCTAGAATGATGTGTGTTAAGTTTCCTGAAAATCGGTTCAGATTTAGATATAGCCCCCATATATATGTTCGTCCGATTTTAAGTAAATGATGCACCAAGATCTCAAAATGTGGCCGATATGCACAAAACATAATGAAATTAGTATAACTTAATTTGTGACAAGTTTCGATGAAATCGGTTTAGATTTCGATATAGCTTATATATATATATATATATATATATATATATTTAAATAAATATATTTATCTCTTTTGTTATTGTTGTTTTGTATTAATGAGTAAAGGCGCTAAGTCCAATTTATCACATGTCACTGACTTAACATCACGTAAAGGCTTTAAGTCAACATTTCATATTTAGGATTTTGGACATGATTTTCAGCCGAATTGTCGGTAGTTTGGTATTTTAAGTATTTATGAGGCAGGGATGTAAGTAAGGGGGGCGGCCAGGGGGGCGGCCAGGGGGGGTTTTTTGGTTCTCATTGGGTGTCCAATCCTTTTTTTACAAAAAATTATCGTTATCTGTCCGCGATATGGTATATACCCCACAAAACTGTACACCAAATTTTTGACAATTTGAGGATTACGGTATGTACAAGGTCCTAGCCCAAATTTCCAATAGCCTGTATTTTTTTATATTTCTCTTGGTAGTTATTTACCATGGCATAAAACCCATATAAAAATACCGATCAATTTAAGAATTTGACTGTTCACCTCACGGCGGTGAGCATAAAAAGGTCGGCCCTGTCGAACTTAAGGACGTTTTACTTATTTGTATTCATATTTTTTAATAAACAATCTTTACTCTACTTAATAATATTAGCATGTAAAAAATCAACAAAAGTACACATTTATTACAGGAATAAAGAAATGTAATGAGAGACAATTTGTAAGAAAATGACCTAAGGCCACGAAAACATGAAAAACAAATGAAAAGTCTTAAAGTCGCAAAAAAAAATTGCGTATGTATTTCCACAAATACTTATTTGTACTCCTCATATAACTTTGTACTCTAATTTGCAATATTTGGGAAAATTTTCTGCATAGGTCTATTTTTGTATATCCCTTAAGGAAGATTCCGACGTTTTTTCTTACGTCATTTCATTCAACTTTTACTTATTTTTCTAGAGTTTTTAATTACTTGCATTTAATAGAAAAAAAAAAAATAAAAGATATTATTTCTCACTATTGCTCACTGATAAAGTTTTAAAGAGTGTAAGAGGTAAACATTTGCATGAATGTACCTGTACAATGAATGCGCACCATTAATGTTAAGTCGTTGAATGAAAACAGAGAATACAAAATACAATGCATGATGTTCACTCACTGGACTCATTGATGTTGTATAACATGTTCTTGTAATCCATCATACTGCATGTTGTGCTTTCGAGTTTGATCGTTTGATCGGACAAAGCACAACGAAGAACAACACAACTTCGGTGGTTGAATTCATTTGCACTCATTCAATGTTGTTGTGTACTCTGAATACAACTTAACACCCATGAATGTGGATGGGCATTCATTGTACGAGTACATTCTTGCAGATGTCTAATGTCTAGGGATAAGTAAATCGACTTTCGACTAATCGACTTTTTGTATTGAATAGTCTAAAAGTCGATCTATGAGAAATTGTAAAGTCGGCTTTTGAAGGTCGACTTTCGATTTTCTTCATAAATACTTGTTTTTATCACAAAGCTCAAATTGACCAAAAATTGCACTTTCCGGAACTTTACATTATCTGTTAACAATTCATATAAAAAATCAAATTTTTAGTCGATTTTGCAGAAGTCAGTAAAATTCGAAAATCAATTTTGAACAGTTTTGAAAAATCGAAAGATCAAAAAGTCGACTTTTTAGTCAAAGGCAAAAATCGAAAATTCTAAAAATCGACTTTTTGGTCTGAGGCAAAAATCGAAAAGTCGACTTTTGCGCTCGACTACGTATCCCTAATTTGTCCCCATATGAGGATACCTGTTTAAAGAGGGACAACTATAAGTAATACCGTTAACTTTGTCATTATAAATACACATATGACTGCTGTAGGCGATTTATAAACACGTGGTCCCAGAGCCAAACAAGTGTTATTTTTAGTGTTTTGTAATCGGTTCAGTTTGTAATATCGGTTCAGTTGTGTTTGGCATATAACCACAATATAATGGTACCACCTGATTTGATATATCCCGTGGCATAGCAACATTTTTTAAGGAACAACATGTTCCTATGAAATTATTATATTAATCATCAGAATCAGAATTTCCTGAATGGGCACGAACTCAATTCAGTATGTGTTCTGATTTTCCATCCTTGTATTTTTCCTAAAATTTCGTGCATTCTAGGATATACTTCTAAATTATTTTTTCTCACATAAAATAGTTTCATTACAATGTCAATCCAATTAAAAAAATATTTTGAAAATTTTCAATAATTCTCAAATGAATGCTTAAAGGAATGATACGATACCAATTTTCGCCCAAACTATCTCAAAAAACTACGCGGTGCAAACAAAATAGCTCAATACTAAATCCGTGGAAATTTTGCAAAATTTTCGCGATTTTTCGATTTCCTCTCACCTTTTAAACCTTCCCTTGACCTCCACGAACATTTCAAGACAAAGATAAAATAAATCCGTTCAGCCGTTCTCGAGTTTTAGCGAGACTAACGATGGATAGATAAGTAAATATAAATGTTTGTTTTTATATAAATATGGTATGGTTACTGTTCTGAAAATACGTTCAGTTACGGTGACGTACATAACCGAGCAAGAATGCTTTAAATGATTCAAATTCAAACTAGTTAGTGTTACGATATCCACTTGATGTGATGTGTGTAGCATATTTATAAAATAAATTCCATTTGATAATTGACAAGGATTTACTTGAATTGTCATTTGAGGTCTAGTGATTTCATTATTTTCCTTAAACGAGTCAATTTATAATGGTGTATGTATGTACTTTTATTATTTTATTAGCACCGGTTATTACATTTCATAAAAATATTTCTCAATCCATCGAGGAAGAGTGAAGGAAGCTCTATGAATGGAACTCGTGTAGTACTTTAAGTCCATTGCATCAATTTCTTCCGAATTAAACTTTTGAATGGGCGTCTTCAAATCACGTCGTTCGTCCAAACAACCGATAACAAATCCAATATGTCCACAAGGATATGATGGGATTGAAGTAACAGCATACGATACATTTGGGAAATGGACCCGGCAACCTGATAACACGTGTTTTACATGTTCAGGGTCGAGCCAAAAACTTCCACCCTGGGAACACACTATTCCGCCTTCCCTCAAAGCTGTTTTCATAAGTCCAAAGTAGCTTTCATTAAATAGACTTTCTGCAGGACCAATTGGGTCTGAACTATCCGTAATAATAACATCGAATTCATCTTTATGCTCTTTCATATATTGGAAGCCATCGCCTATCATAAGTTTTAATTTGGGGCTACTAAATCCACTAGCCATTCTTGGAAGGAATTTTTTGGACAAATCCACAACACGGTCGTCTATTTCAATTTGGTGCACCTCCTTAACTTTTGGATGTTTGGAAACTTCACGTGCTACACCACCATCACCGCCACCAACAATAAGAACTTTCTCGGGATTTGGATGAGAGCATAGAGGTAGAAATGAAATCATTTCTTGGTATGAAAATTCATCTCTTGTAGTGCATTGAATAATGCCATCCAATACAAGACAGGTTCCGTAGGTTTCTCTAGAAATGTAAAATTAAATATGTAATTTACAAATATAAAATATGTATTGATTGCAAAATGTTAGTTGTGTACAAAAGTGTTTCAGTAGTTCGAGCATAATAGTGTCATTTGAATGCAAAACATTTTTAAAGAAATTATTAAAGTATATATATTATGTAACTGTAATATTTTATAACACGAATAAACTTTGGTTTAACCACAAATACATAAAAATACGTACATAAAACTTGTAAATAATGTTTTGAAATTTAAATTTTTGTTTTTACGGTTTCCCTATATAGATTACTTGCCAGTATTAAGCATACATTGTAATTTGTTTCTCTTTCTATGTTAGCTATATCCATTTAATGTATGAAGTGATTCCATATAATGCAATGATATCCTGGTTATTTTGCTTGAGTTCAAAAGGAACCAAGCAAAAGCCAACGTCTGGTGCCATTAGCTTTAGCTCTATACATCCATTGCTATTAGTCATTGGCGTCAATGGCTAAATTTGCAAATGATCCGGTATTTATCTCAGACATATTGTTCTTATTTGATAGTTACTCTGGGAAAAGTGGGTAACTATTCTTATTAAATCTAAAATATATAATTATCAAGTTTGTAATGCCGCGAAATATTGCCTTTAGTACACCGATCGTTATATCTCACTAGCTGAGTCGATCTAGACATATGTATCCGTCCGTCTGTCCATTACACATTTATGAAATTTTGGATGTGGGACGGGTTCTGCCCAAAGAAGACCCTTATTGTTTGCATTTTAGTTGAACAATATATAGAAATAGTATTAGATTAAAGAAACACGTTGTAGGTTTTGATTACATTTCTATATTTAAATATAAAATTTGGAATGAATCTTACGTCTCAATTATAAGTATGTCCTGAATCTTCGATTTTTCTTTATGAAGAACATTTTTCACTTGTAATGAAAAGCTTTGGCCCGGCCATAACTCATTTTGTATTTCACTGAACCAACCGTTTTGTATTGCGTCCATTATGTTACTATATTGCTTTCCCACACACATTATAATTTGTGTTTTTCTTATCACATCTAAAATACAGAGTAACAATTACCGTAAAGTGTACATCGAATGTTGACATATATTATGAGGTTTGAGGTAATTTCGCTGGAGAAGTTTCACGAATTATCGGGCTACCGAAATGTATGGTAATTTTACGAATTATGGCGATTTTTTAAAGATATTGGAATTTTGTACTAATGAACGAGATAATAATAATCAGGATTATATTCCACCATAATTTATATTATATTGCATCAGTTAAAGGCCAAATCATGGTACAATAGATAATACATGGAACGCACAGTGGGATAAAATGCAGATCAAGCGTACAGAAAATAAAAGTCGATGTTATTTTGTATGTGTGTCCATTATCTTGAAAAGAATAACAATTTTACTTCATTATTTGGTAAACTTGTATTTATTTGAGTTTTGCCTATAATGGCGATGACCATGTGAATTATTTTTAAGTCCGTTCTCCCCTTTCGAGTCGAGCTTTTCATTGAAAAACTTTGATCATTGATTTAAAGGGGGAAAACGGACTAAAAAATTTGATTAATTTTTATTTTTTATTTGTGTTAAAATCACGATAAAGTTTGCAATATTAAAGACAGAGCTTTGAAATTTTGCACTGACATTTATATTACTCCTAGGATGTTTGGGATACATTGGTCCAAACCGGATCTTTATATGGGAGCTATATCGGTATGGGTATTGAAACCATATAAAGGTCGGGCGCAATTTTTGGTATTTTGAGGCTATTAACCGCTATTTCATTCTTTACAAGTGTTATAATTGATTTCTTTATTTTGAAAGTGGATTAAGTACTTTTTTCTTATATTCAGATATTTGGTTGTTTCAAGTTAAAGATCGAAGTTTTGCAATGAAAGGCATGTTCCTATGGAACTATTACTATATGTGACCGCCGTTTCTGATCAAACATCACATTTATCTGAAAAAAAATTCCCCTTGTATTTTTTTCTGCAAAATTTACGTCAAAATACAATATATTTAAACTTTTGTTAATTTTACATTTCGCTCATTTGCTGCAAGACAGGCATAACTCAAAAAATGTGATTTTTCGAGTTAATGATGCACGATTGTTCGCTATAATAGACCTCATGTTGTGTAAACAATTCATATGAATATCTCTTACACACTCTAATTGAGAAGCTGTAGAAGTTCCTCTGTCCCATATAAAGTGTGAGTAAATTGAAAAATTGAGTTATGCCTGTCATGCAGAAAATGAGCGATTTGATCTCGGGTAAGCACACAAGTTATATGGGTTTTTACACCATGACTATTCACAATTGCATTTTATTGTGCGAATAAAAATTTATATTATTGACAATACTTTTTAAATAGGATATTGATGTTACACCTGAGGAATCGGAGTCAGATACAACTAAAACTTGGACTCTATAGTGACCAATATCCCGAGACATAATTAACCACAATTTTGACACAAAAAGCAGTGAGTACATTAACCACATACAAATTACTGTACAAATATTATCTCAAACCGACAAAAAATACAAAATTCGCGACATACTATTAACATATGTATCATCAATTAGTTCATGAATCTAATAATAATTCATTAGATAACAAATATGTTCTTATGTAACACGAACACGTATTTTTTTAAAGCATATAAAAAATCAACAACAAAAATTTAAAAAAAAATAGTTTTTTAAAGAATATTTAATAAAACGCAAAGTAATTAAATCACATATTTGAAGGCGCTTAAAAAAATAATAATTGAATATAGAAAAGCCTACAAAGAGTGGCTATTGCCAAATTAATTATTTGAGCAAAACAAAAACTAAATGTAAATAAGAAATAATAAATAAACCAACAACAATTATTCAAAAAAAAAAAATAATAATAATTGAATATAGAAAAGCCTACAGAGAGTGGCTATTGCCAAATTAATTATTTGAGTCGCTATTGTCAGTTTAATTGAGCAAAACAAAAACTAAATGTAAATAAGAAATAATAAATAATAAATAAACCAACAACAATTATTCAAAACCTTCATGATTCATAAACAAGTTTTGTAGTCAAATATGAAATATTTTGTTAAAAAAGGATAATTATTGTATTTATTTATCATTGCCTTATAACCTATGTATAATTAATTAATGTTATAAATATATTTTCATTTATAAATTAAGATAGAATTTATATATTTGTAAGTGTATAAATAACTAATAATAATGTTTCAAAGTTAAAAAGAATACCAATGTATTTAAAATTTAATTGAAATTAAAATCATGGTTTGGGCAATGATGTGAAATAAACAATTGTTATGAGATTCTATGAAACTACTCTAATATTGAGATTTAAATTTTCACAGGATGATCATCAAGGATCATGTTAAGGCTGGGAACCTCAGGGCCAAGAATACCAGGTTCCTTTTTTCTCATTACATCCATATAGTATCCATAAAGATTATGCTCATTGTGATTTAGTATTATCTATTATTATATTACTTATGTTTTTACGTTTATCTATGAATAAAATAAAAAGCTTAACATTACCACCTGACACTTAAAAATCAATATAGTCGGAAGGAAGCGGAATGAATTCACCATACCCATCGAGCTCAAGCAGCAGCATAAAAGCCGAGAGTGCCACCGCTTTGTTCACCACCAATCAGTTACATTTGGCGCCCAATGTGGGGCATTTTAATGACCTTATCCATTGCTTCAAATCCTGATTGTTTATGTAAGTACCAGGAAGCTTTTCATAATACTAATATTAACAATAAAATAGTTATCTATATTTAATTTTTCTTAACTAATGTAATTTAACTCAAAATTTAAAATTTTATATTGTCAGTTGAAGGAACAACGAAATTTAAAAAAAATAGTTTTTTAAAGAATATTTAATAAAACGCAATGTAATTAAATCACATATTTGAAGGCGTTAAAAAAATAATAATTGAATATAGAAAAGCCTACAGAGAGTGGCAATTGTCAAATTAATTATTTGAGTCGCTATTGTCAGTTTAATTGAGCAAAACAAAAACTAAATGTAAATAGGAAATAATAAATAAACCAACAACAATTATTCAAAACCTTCATGATTCATAAACAATTTTTGTAGTCAAATATGAAATATTTTGTTAAAAAAGGATAATTATTGTATTTATTTATCATTGCCTTATAACCTATGTATAATTAATTAATGTTATACATATATTTTCATTTATAAATTAAGATAGAATTTATATATTTGTAAGTGTATAAATAACTAATAATAATGTATGTAAGTACCAGAAAGCTTTTCATAATACTAATATTAACAATTAAATAGTTATCGATATTTAATTTTTCTTTACTAATGTAATTTAACTCAAATTTAAAATTTTATACTGTCAGTTGAAGGAATCCGTTGTTGTTTTTTGTGATCAAAGAAAAGTCCTTATTTTTGATGGCGGGCATGATAACCGAAAATTCAAACGGTGTTAAAAAGAGTACTTCTCTGGCTCTCGTATGAACTAGGATTATTGACTTCGACAACAATTAACAAAATGGCGGAAATTTTAATTTTTTTTGTTTGGAAAATCGCCTACTTTTGACCACAAACTAGGTTAAAAAATAAGGAAGATCTTCACCGATTGTCTTTATCATACGAGAGCTATACACTCCCTGAGAAACGTGTCAAAATTTGGGACCGATTGGATTATTAGTTTTTGAGTTATCGTGCCTCCATTCGCTTCGAGAAAAATGCGTTAAAAGTTTGAGAATAACTCTTGCCGTCCCTTGAAAAAAAAATTGACATCGAGAATGGGGGGGGTCCTCTTAAGCGATTGATGTTTTAATAATTTTCTCCTTTGTTTCTAACACAATACGAAACTCATCACAAAAGACTCTGAAAAGAAAATAAAAATAAGTTAATATAATATATCTTATAAGTTTTGCTACAAAACGTTAGAAAAATACTAACAAATTTTATATACAATTTACTTGTAAGAATGTTCATAATTATTTCTTTCATCTGTATATCATGCCATTCTCATATTTTAGAAATGGAATGGAACAAAGACGATTCCACTCTTGGCACCATAACAACCATTTGATGAACCAGCATATGCTAGAGGTCGCCAACAATACAAATTTCCACCAAATGCCAATATACCCATTTAGGACAATAATTATTCGCCAGAAAGTCCCCGTTGTCCACAAACAATTTCCATGCCACAATAAAATTTTACATCTGCAACTTTCAATTACATAGAAAAACCACCCATCACTTTCGATCATGAAAAATGGGGTATTCAGTTTGATGGAGGAAACAAATCGACATCTGTGGAAGGTTTCGCCTTTAGGGCGGAGACCATTAGAGAAGATAATCATTGTCCATGGCCAATATTACTGAAAGGATTTCATGGTATCTTAGCATACGAATGGTTTTGGACATTCAGAAGACAAAATCCTTACTGCGAATGGGAATACCTAAAATATAATTTGAAGAGGAAATTTCAACGATTTGAAAATGATTATGAATTCCAAAGGCGTATAATAGAAAGAAGACAAGGCAATAATGAATCTTCCTATACTTTCATTTATGTCTTCTCAAAACAGAATTGCCAATAGTACTTATTTTGTACAAATCAAAGGATTTCGAATTCCAACTATTTTTTTAATTTTATCTTTTTTTATTTGAATTAAAAAAATACAATGGACTATCCGTATGAATTGTGTAACATTTCGAAGAAGGCACCAACTAAAACGATGCCTATTCGTAAAACCTCTTTTGCTGGGAATGCTGCGTCACGAATAGCGTCAGGTAATATTGATAAAACTGATGTTGTTAATGATCAGACTTATGCCAGTGTCGAGTCTCATGCAATCACGGAAGTGAGCAAGGATATAATGGAAGTGACAATACCTCATAACGCTATGTATGAAATTGAAAACCTTAAAGACCAACTTATTGGTAACATACGTGCACAACTTCTCAAGTTTTAAACATTTT